AGGAAGACCCCCTGAGAGACCCCGTTCCTGGTTTCCTCATCTCAGACTCTGATTTGGTCAAATGTGTCATTTTCTCACTTTCTTTAGGACATCTTCTTGTCATTGTCCTTTCTACCCTGTGGGTAACTGATAAGTGCTCACCTTCCATGCTAGACCATGAACTCCTCATTTGTGTAAGAGGCTGCATTTGTTTGTGTTCACTTTTGTGTTACCAGCCCCTAGCACAACATGGGTTGGATATCTGGGAACTGGAAAGGATTGGTTTCATTTCTGTGGTAGCACATAGAATTTAATACCTAGTAAAAGTAATGCTACTATGATAGTGGCACAGATATATTTCTCAGACAATCGGCTAGGTCCTTGCTCCTCTAAAAAGACACATTTATGACTTTGAAATGCCATATGTGAAGAGAAGGAAAATCCATTGCAGAGATGCCGAATTGCCACCTGTTGGCAGATGACACTTAAAATAATCTATAATTATGTCACTGAAGGACCTGCTTGACAACGTTGTCCTCATTATCCTTAGTAGGGACTGGAGCCCCTTTATTTCCTGTTATGTAAATATTTTGGTTCTGCATATTTTGAATATTTCCAGGCCCTGGACTAGGATATGACCATATTCTCTAGTGCTGATTGTCACCAGTCTGTTAACAGACATGAAGTAGCCAGAAGAATGTACTTGGCTGTTCACGAGAGATGGTCTTTGGTCTTATTGGTTTATACTTTAATTTATTCATTGTACTTATGTGATGCTTGCACTCAAACCCAGGGCCTCCCTTGTGCTACACAAACACTCTTATGTCTAGAGCCCCCCAGGCCAGATTGGTTGGTGCTTTTAGACTTCCTAGGCCAGTGAACTGTAGAGATTATTGGCACACAAATCACTATGCTGAAAAACTGAAAGTCAAGGTGCTTCTCACGGCTGGTTCTATGAGAAAGCGAAGGTATGAAGAAGAGCCAACAGACATGCTGATTGTAATACATGCACATGCACACAGTGTACAGGTTTGTTGCTTATAACCTACAGTTGCTGGAAAGTTTTCATATAAAATACTTATATGTAACCCTGTCTTGAAAACAACAACAACACTTATACATAAGTACTCTTGACTCTAAAATTGACTTTAAACCATAAACTTATAATACTTAGTGTAAAATAGTTGTTTATATCCTTTGTTTTAGTTTAAAATCCTTGGTATAAGAGACAAGCCTTGAGTGCTGGTTTTGAACCTTAGTCATCACAACCTTGCACCTGCAGCTCGGTACACCTGTGTTGGTGCTCTCGGGAGTTCGTGCAGATGACCAGGTGTAACGATTGGTGAAAACTGGCACTTTTCAGAATTTATGCCTGTTTTTATTATTGTGTAAAGAACGCCAGAGATCATCACACGGGATCAGGGAATGCTGGCTGGGCAGTGTCTGCACCTCCCCATGCAGTGGACACACACCAACTTCCGGCCAGTGCTCTTACGCCACTCTGGGTATGGTTGAGTTACAAGAAGCCTTCAAGGGATGAGATGGTCCCTGACCTGTTACATGCCCCAGTCACCTAGGCTTGCCACTCAGCATAATAAGCTAACAGGGATGTAGAGCCTGCTTTTGGGTGAGCTGTCACCTGATTCTGACACCCAAGCTCAGCTCTCATGTGCCACCAGCACCATCTTGCTGCTTCACGTGGATACTGTCACATATTCATGGTATTCATGGCTGTATTGTCAGGTGTCTGACTACCAGGAGCTGAGATGAGCTATATCCTCCAGCAGATTATAATGCAATGTCCAGGCATGCTGCCCAGTTTTCACAGGCTTCTAGGACTGTGTTGTAGTTCATACTGAATGTCAACTTGATATAATCTAGAATTACCAAGCAGACAAGCTCCCGGGCTTGTCTGTGAAGGATTATCTTGATCAGGTTAGTCTCTGGGCATGCCAGCAAGGGCTTATCCTGATTAGGTTAATTGAGGTGGGGAGACCCGTGCTTACCAGGCTTGTTTCCTTGGACTGGATAAAAAGGAGTAGCAGTGTTTGTCACTGGGCTGATTGACTGTAAATGTAATGTGACCACCTACCTCCATCTCCTCCCTCAGTGGCTTCCCTGCCGTGGTGGACTAAACCCTTCAACTGTGAGCCTGAATGAATGCTTCCTCGTGGAGCTGCATTGTCCGGGTATTTTTATCATAGCAACAGGAAAAGTAGCAAATGCAGACTCTTTGAAAACACAACACAGGCATGTGAAGTACTAACGGAGTATGCTGTTGAATTGTTTTGTGGGTTGTGGACCTGTCATATGATTTTGTCACTCCCTGAGCTATTGACATGACACCCACATTTGTCACCTAAGTGCCTGGTGAATACTTGTTAACCTGAGACTGCTGTTGGGGAAGACCTGGGACAATTGTTGCAGAAGGGGACCAGAGCATGAACTGCTGTCACTGTCGTGTGGGACCTGCAGCCTGATGCGAAGATGCCGTTGTGTCTTAAGGACAGAGCCTCCCCTCTTCACCTAAAGTTCCCTCTTTGAGTTCAGGGGATGTTGCTAGTGAGAGGACTATTTTCTCTGGTGCCCTTTATGTATTTGATCTTGATTGCAAGAACCCTAAGGAATCGAGCTCTGCCTGTGCACCCAGGGACCAGCTCGCCTCTAGCTTGGGCTCAGCCTTTGTCTGGTATCCCTAGGGGGGCTTATGCCAGCTACTATGTTTATTGGGGTAGGAACAAGGGTTGAAGCAGGGTCTGGCAGGTCCTATCCCCATGGATTCCTGTTGCCTCATATGGTTAATGACAGATTTAAATTCTATGCTAAATTAATTCTAAATATAATTTATATAGAATTATATTAAATTCTATATATATGACTTCCTTGTCCTTGGTACATTAGGAGACTTTTCATTGCTGAGACAAAATACTGAGCAAGACAACTTTAGGGAGGGAGACTTTATTTTTGGCTCCCAGTTTTCAAGGTGTTAATCTATCATGGTAGACTTTGGTCTATCATGGTAGAATGAGACTTTCTCCTTCTTCTCTTTTATTCCATTCAGGCCCCAGCCTATGGGATGGAACTACCCACATTCAGGGGGCAGGCTCTTGTCCCCTCAGTTAGTCTGAACTAGAGATTCCTCTGGACACACCTTAAACATGATCTCTTATTCCTCGAGGTGTTTTCTATATCCAATCACATTCACCACCAAGATTCATTATCACACTGAACATCTGAATTTTTATAACATCCCTTTGTCATGAGGATGTTAATTGCACAAAAAAAAAAACAAATTTCATTATGACTTCTTTATGCACATGCGTACTTTGATTATACTTACTCCCATTGCCCTCACTTACCCCCTCTCCTCTTTTCCTTCCTTCTCCCGAAGAGTCACCTCCTACTTCAGTGGTCTTTTCTCTAGATCCCATGTAAAATATGAAACATGATGTGTCTTCCTGCATTTTCAGAGTTTTTACTGGGTTTGTGTGTATAACCCAATCATAGAAGTAGATGATGTCTCAGTACTGGGCATCGTCTGTGTGCTTACATGGGTGATCTCATATCGCCCTTCTTTCTGCATTGGGAGCAGCAAGGGCACAGTGGACTCAGCAGGAATTGGGCTCTAGGCCCATCATAGGCCAAGATGGCTTCTATGTGCCATAGACTAGGCCTATGGGATACTCAGTTAGGAGTGGGTAGAGCGTGTTGGGAAAGAGGACAAGGGATGCAGGGCTGGTCCTGGGGAGACAGGCTTTAAGACGTGCGGAGAGAATGGAAGGTAGGATTTCTGAGGTAAGATGAGCACAGCATGAGAATGTGGAAGGATGGAATAGGAACGTGATGCTTGCCATCCTGAAGAGCCGGGGGACGCAGCTCAATGGCTATGCCAGCAGTATCGGATGTTCTAGCCCAGGGCATCCAGACACCCAGGACCAGGGACTCATGCATTGGAGTGGTCCTCAAAGGAAGAGAGTGCAGAGTGGATTGGGGGGCCCTAGAGTCTGAGGCACTGCCCTTTAGCCCTTTTTCTATTGAGATGCAGTGTGCTGAGGTTTCCCTCCCCCGCTGTCAGGTGTGTATTGGAGACCTCATAGTGCTAGCCCAGCATTGATTTGCTCAGGGAATGAGGGCAGACGTGTCCTCATCAGGCTGAGAGTCTTGATGGACAAACTGTGTCGTTAGCATCTTGTCACTGTAACATAGGAACACACAACAGGGACCTTGTGACAGTCTTCTATAATAGGTGCAGTCTTAACCCTGCTGCACTGATGGAAAACCCAGGACTCGGGGGAGCCAAATAACATTACAAGATCCGACAATACGTATTGGAAAATAATAACATTTAAACACAGCTCTGTGAATGCCCATCTCTGCCTCCTACCGCACCCTGAGGAACAGAACCGGCTTTGTAAATGAATGTTTAATAACACTGTTGGGGAAAGCAACTTTTTCCAATCCTTTTAAAGACTGAGGTATCGCTCTCCACACACCATAAAGCCCACCCTTTTGAAGTGTAAACCTCGGTGGTTTTTAGTAAGCTCGGCAAATTGTGTGACCATGCTACGAGCTCAAGAATATTCTCATCACTCAAAAAACAAAAACTACACTCATTAGCTGCCACTCCTTTCCCTCCTGGACAACCAGTAGGGCACTTCCTGTTGTCTAGACACTTCCGCTAAACAGACTCACATCTGTGTTTTTATATTTAGCATAATGTTTTCAAAGCTCATCTGTGCGGTGTTGTAGCATGTGTGAGGACTCCATCCCTTTATATTGTTGAGTAATAATTCCATCGTATTGATAGACCACTCTTCATTCATCACAGGGTGGTCATTTGAGTCATTCTCACTTTGTAGCTTTGATGAATAATGTTGCTATGGACATGGGTGCACAAGGTTTTGTGTGGACGTGTATTTTCATTTCTCAGGAACATATATATATCCGCTGTTTTGGAAGACTATAAATAACATTAAACTCTGAGATCTCCTTTGCACCCTTCTTCCTGCGATTGTGTCTAGTTCTCACTAGTGGCTGACTTATTCCATGACGACAAGGACTCTGTTCCTGCCACCAACACAGCGAAGAGTCGATCGTCTTCGAAGATCAACATTCGCTCTTCCAGACCGCCCTTGAAGGTCTCCAACAAGGAGCACAAGAAATCCGTGGGCTACCAGGTCAGTCCTAGTCCCAGGCCCGTGACATGTGCAGCAGGGCTGGCTTGGAAGGGACTGACAGAAGGAAGAAGGGGATAGAAGCAGGGTCCCATGGAAGGTCTCTGGATCGTGTGGGGAGGGAAGGTCCAACTGCGGTGCTCACTTTCTGTCTCCAAAGAGAAGGCCCTGGTAATCCACCTGCGTTTATTCCTTGGGATTTGCCGATTGGGGACATTTCATGCAAACCCCACCATTCCCTGCATGTTTGTGTTAGAACCGAATTCCCCATGTTCAGGGATAGCAGGCCTCTAGCGCACAGCAGGCAGATCTCTCTGGTCTCTTCGCGCTCGTGTTTTGTCTTATTGTCGTATTCATAACATCGTTTATATTCATCTTGTGAACAGTGGGAGTTAGGCACATTGTGTAGTAGTCTCTCCCATTGATTTTGAAGATCTCTACTATGGAAGGACTCAGTGGTACTCACAGCAAGTTATGAGTGTCAGTTAGAACCCAACCCTCGTCACTGAATGTCTTCCTGTGCCTGTCCTTCTGAATCAATCATCGTAGTAGTGATTTCTGCTGTCACCGCTGGCAGGATGGTCACTGGAATGCCAGTGTAGAGTGGTAAAAATAACCGAGGTCTGGTTTTGCCCCTGCAGTTCCGCACTTCCCTGAACCTGCTCATGGAGACCCTGAATGCCACAACGCCACACTACGTCCGATGCATCAAGCCCAATGATGAAAAGCTCCCCTTCCAGTAAGTGCCAGCTGGGTGTAGCCACACCAGCCTGCTTATCCTGTCTCGGGATCAGCGGGAACGGGGCGGGCTCAGCCTTGCTGAGCTCTACAGAGTCATATAGTGACCGGTCAGTCACTTCCCAGGTGGGCTCCGTGCTGAGCCTCTCTAGGCATGCTGCTTGCTTCCTCTCTTCCCTTCCTCCACACGTGTGAGACGTGATTGGGAATCCCTCTGTACCTGTACCTGTTGACGTGAAGGAGCTGGTGGGCAGAGCAGCATCCAGGGAGAGGAGAACCAGATGCCAGGTTCTCTGCAAGGCCTAGTGTACATACCACCACCACCACCACCACCACCACCACCACCACCACCACCACCCCTACCGAGGGTAGGAGGAGGATGAGAAAGGGGGAAAACAGACCAGGACCAGAGTTGGCTGGTTCCAAGTTAATCTTTGACCCTCTTTGTCAGTTAATTATAATTTTACAGTATCCTGGTTTTGAAAGAAATACAAGGAGATAATAAATGAGAATTGCCAGTGAGAAAGTATTACAATTTATATGGTTAAAATATGTTATTGTTGTTATTACTATTATTTTATTATTATTATTGGCTGGAAAATAGCACAATCAGTAAAGTGTGATCCCCAGACCCACATCAAAAAGCCATGTGTAGTGAGTGGTGCATGCTTGTATTCACAGCACTGGAGATGTGGGATAAGCAGACCCCTGGGGCTCCGTGGCCAGCCAAGGTAGCTTGATCAGCAAGCCTCAGGCCAATCAAAAGACCCTACCTTAAAAAAAAAAACAATGTGAATGCTACCTGAGGAATGACACCAAGGTTGACTCATGTCTTCTACACACACTGTACATGTATGTGTGTACCCCTGTTATACATATATAGCACTATATATGTTGACATAAACTTATTGACATTATTCTAGAAGCAAAATTCGCCGTATCTTTCCTCCCATTTCTATTTCTGGTGTCTTCTCTTTGGCACTCATCACACGTGGGTCAGATCATTCTTTGTCTTGAAGGATTGTCCTGAACATGACAGCTTGGTTAGGAGCATCACTGGCCTCCTCCTGGCACATGCTAGTAGCATCCCCATCAGTGTGACAGCCAACATTCTTACACATTACAAAATGTTCCCCAGGGGGGCAGAATGGCCCCATTAAGGGCCCTTGTCCTGTATGTTTTTATAGCACTTCTCCTATAAAAGTATTCTCCCTCTACTTTTAGTCAAGAACTATCTGTCTCGTTTCTTCTTCATTAGACACTTGGCTGTGACCAGTAGAATGGCATTTAGATATGCTTCCCTCCCCCCAGCTAAAGGACCTGCCTGTCACAAACAACCACCACTGCCACAGAAGTGACTGTCAACAATTCAATGAAAACAGTACGGGGGTAGGAATGACAAGATGTCTCAGCCAGTAAAAAGCACATGCCCCAAACCTGAGGGCTTGAGTTCAAACCCTGAGAACCCACAGAGTGGAAGGCGAGAACTGACTTGAGAGAATACTATGAAGACAGAAAGGCGAGAAAGCAATGGAGAGACTCCTCTCCCGGGGAGGAAGTGGCCCGGGGTGAGTGTCAGTCCAGAAGCCCCTGGTCGAGGACCTGATGAGATTGGCTGACTAATTGGTCTCAGGGTTTTGGTGGCTGAGCGGTGGCTGTAGGGATACTATGGAGCCTGAGAATTAGTTGGAAGCGAATGGCCTGTGCAAAGTTGATAGAGTAGAAGTGATTGCAGAAGCTAGAAGCTGGGCTTCTCCCTCTGCAGCCAGACAGCTCCAGGCTGTGCTGTTCCTGCTCTGTTTGGAAACAGGCAAGTGAAAACCTGGCTTTCCACGCTCTAAACCTCTGCCTGGTAGTTTTTTAAATCAAATCAACAGTTAGGTGTTATCTTCCACATTTAAGAGTAGAAGCTGGTTTTCCATTCCTCATCACTCCATAGTGAGGCAGGTGGGGTCTTTACTAGTGCAGAGATGAGATTAGAATGCTGCTCAATCCGGGCTTCCCAGTTCCCTGGACGAGGAGGAGGATGCGGTGTCTTCCTTGTCCTGTCCTTGTGACTTTCTCTTGCAAGTCCTTTTTCCATCTGTGATTACTGTAGCAAATCTGAGAGTTGTGGTTGACAGATGTTCTCCACACCCACTAAGTGAGTGAGGGAAACAGACAAGAGGTCATGTCTTGCCTGAAGTGGTCCCAGCTGTCAGTGGGGAGCAGGAGCCCAGCTGCATTCCTCTCCAGCTGTGTTAGTCCACACAGGGACTGTGGTTGGGGTGCTGCTGCTGTCTGGGGTGGGGGAGAGCAGGCAGGGGACCACAGATGGGATGATGTGCTATCTGGGGTGGGGAAGAGCAGGCAGGGGACCACAGATGGGATGATGTGCTCTCTGGGATGAGGAGGAGAAGGTAGGAGACCACAGGTGGGCTGCTGCTGCTGCTGTCTAGGGTGGGGAAGAGCAGGTAGGGAATATTTTTGCTGACCTCATCACAAAAGGAGATGTTAAGGCTAAGCTAAGAAATTACTTGTTCTAGATAGTAGCCTAGAGGATAGAGTTGTAGTGGATGGATAGGGGCCCCTGGGACAAAAGTCCCACATTTATATAACACTTTTTGAAAACTCCTGAGTATCCATTCTGACTGACTGCCTTAGAGGTAAGAGGAACAGAGCTTTCACCCTGAAGGCTTTCCTAGGATTGGGAGCAGCCCTCATATCCTAAGAGGCTTCTTCTGGGTCCAGTCAAGGGCCAGATCCCAGAACTGTGCTACGTATCAAAGTGGACAAAGACACCTCAGGGCATGGTATGGGAGAGGGTAGGTTCCAGTGAGGGGCTCAGCGTTTCCTTCTGTCTTCTAAGCCTCTTACACCGCAGAGCTTTGGTCCTCACAGGAGGACATTAGGTTATCAAGTAACTGCTCTCATCAAGACCACGGAAAATTCAAAACCCAGCACTGGGTTGTCCCTTATGCACATAATGTCACTCGTTCATGGCCTGAAGCCCTCTCATTTAGAGCTGAAGTGAGCAGGAAGAGAGTTTGGAGAAGCCAGGCTGGGGGTGCAGCAGAGTGGGGTAAGCAGGGTGAGGGAGCTGAGGAAGTAGGAACAGGAACAGGCCTGAAGGAGAGTGTGGGTATCCTCAAACTTAGGACCTCCATGGAGTCAGAGCATGCCTGATATGCAGCAACAGCTTAGAGTCATCCGTCTCCAGGAAGATGCATGCCGAAGCCAGGCAAGCTCGGGACACCATTTGCCAGTTCGATGACCCATGAGGGAGGCTCGTGTGGTCAGCAGCATGAGAAAGTGGTATGGGCTGGCCAGGGCCCGGTCACACAAAGATAAGTAAACAGTCTGTCACAGAGAGACGGAGTGAAGGTGGCGGTCCCTAGGCCACCTTAACCTTGGAATCCAGAATCCAGGTGGGCTGTGCAGCCGTAAAAAGAGTACCTGGGTTGTCAGGAAGAGTGACAGATGGTAGACCAGGCATTTGTCCTGTGGGCCGATGTAGTTCCCACCACTGTTCATCTACCGGGGTGACCCAGCCGCCTACAGCCTCACCGGGTTTGGTCAAAGCCTTTCCAGTCCAAGGCTGTGAGCCTCGTGGGTCCTCAGACTTGTTCTTTCATCTCCAGCATTCAGGAAACAGAAGAAGTATAGCTCCCTGGCTTCAGCTGAGCCACTGGTAATTAGAAAGAAAGGGCGTGTACGTTCCTCATCACTTCTGAGTGGAACAGCAGTCTCAGAAAATTCTAAAAAGTGCCTAATTCTGGGTCAGCTTGGTTCTTCATATGACCTCTGGCTGTCCTAGTCTCCTGCTGTCGTTCCCCGGGGTTCCCTCCAGCACCTGCTTCCCCACGGATCTTACAGCATGCCTTGCAGTGTGTACCACTGAGCCCTGTCCTCTTCTGCCCCCTCCTCCCATCACACACAGGCCCTTAGAAAGTCTGTGTGAAAAGAAGAACCGCCCAGGGCAAGTTCTGGAGAGTAGACAGGAATGAGTCTGGGATGGTGGGCAGGACTCTGGGAAGCAAGTGGGCAAGGAAAGGGATGGGATTAAGTTAAGAATGTGCACAGGGGCTGGAGAGATGCTCAGAGGTTAAGAGCATTAGCTGCTCTTCCAGAGGTCCTGAGTTCAATTCCCAGCAACCATATGGTGGCTCACAACCATCCATAATGAGATCCGGTGCCATCTTCTGGCATACAGACATACTGTAATACATAATAAATAAGTCTTAGAAAAAAAAAATGTGCACCGTCTCAAGACTGTTGAAATGGCTCCTCCGCCCTTCAGTCTGTACTTTCCAGACCTTGTGTGTCCATCTGCAGCCGGTGGCAGCAGGTGTCTCATCTGCTGCAGTTGAGGAGTACTTTCCTTCTCTCTTGTTCTCTTACCTGCCAGCATCCCTTCATTGTGTGTCTTATTTGGCAGCTTCGACCCAAAGAGAGCCGTGCAGCAGCTCAGAGCCTGTGGAGTATTGGAGACCATTCGGATCAGCGCAGCCGGCTACCCATCCAGGTAATGTCACCAGTCAGGCCTTCCTCAGGCTGCTGTGAAGCATCGAGTGTACTGCCCTGGTGAGCCATGGTTGTGCTGTCAGCCTGGGACAGCTCCTCAACAAAAGCTCCTATACCCTGAAGACCCAAACAGGATGCTGACAGAGAGAATTTCAGCCTGGCTCGAAAACACGGAGTCAACAGGAACAGGCTTTGGGGAAGCATTTCCGATCAGTACGGTCTGGGTGGTGGGCTAGCTAGAGTCACAAAATGGACTCCTCAGGCTTATCCTTCATCTTTTCCTCCATTGTACTGTGACAAAACGTGGGGGCATAATATCTACTGTCTTTCCTATCTCAAGTATACAGTCCAGTAACAATATGTGTAGCCATTCTTACCAGCCATTTCAAGAATTCCTTTAATCTCGTAAAACTAAAACTGTTCAAGGCAGCTGCCTGTCTTAGTCTGTCTTCCATTCCTGTAAGAAAAGACCTGAATGAGCAAAGCACTCCGCACAGACTAACTGCATTTTCAAACGGCCTTGTGTTGGCCACAGTTTTAGTCTGAAAGCCCAAGGTTATGAAGGAAGGGTAAGAACATCACCCGATAAGAAGCGGCAGAGTAGCTGGAGCCCTGTAGTCCCTCCTGAAGGCCATAATCAATTGGCCTAAGAACTTTCCCATAATTCCCCTTAGCCCTGCCTTGCCTCAATCATTCCACCACCTCCCAACACCACCATTCTGGGACCAAATTTCTAACACAGGAACCTTCCTGGGGCAAACCTTACTGTACAATGGTCTAGCACTTCTCTCCCTGTCCCCAGCCCCTGCAGCCACCCTGTCTACTGCTGTCTTTGACCAAAAGACATTAAGTCTTTCTACATATTGTCTTTGATCAACTCTAGATGCTTCATCTTGTTGTAGAATATTATTTTAGGGAGTGTTGCTTTATGCTGCATTTGTTTAACTCTGTGAAGCTGTGTTACTGGGCCTGTCTAAAACACCTGATGATATACTAAAGAGCAGAACTACCAATAGTGAGGCAGGAGAAAGGATAGGTGGGGCTGGCAGGCAGAGAGAATATATAGAAGGAGAAATCTGGGAGAAAGAAGAAATAGCAAGAGAAGGAGGAGGACTCCAGGGGCCAACCACATAGCTACACAGCAAATCATCAAGTGAGAAACAAAGAAAAGTATACAGGAATAGAGAAAGGTAAAAGCCTTTGAGGCAAAAAGCAAATGAGGTAATTTAAGTTAAGGAAAGCTGGCTAGAAATAAGCCAAGCTAAGGCCGGGCATGCCTAATTAAGAATAAGCTTCCATTAGTGATTTATTTAGGAGCTGGGGGGAAAAAATAAGCGTCTAAGTAGAATTATGTGATACCTGTCCTCTTTGTGACTGGTTTATTTCATTATATCCTTAACATTCTGCATTGAATGTAGCGTGTGATAGAATTTGCTCTTTGAGGCAGGAGAATGAGCCTTTATATGCATGTTACCAAGTTCTACCTATTGTCTCACCTAGAGTTGGACCTTTTTAACTTTCCATGTGAAATCAAATCCACTGCAGAAAACACAACTTCTTTGAGTTAAGAATAACTTCCATGGAGACTAGGGAAATGTTTCAAGTGTGATAAGCTGAGTTCAGGAACCTAGCAGAAGTATTGTCAGTAACCCCATTGCTGGGGGAGAGGGGGCACCAGAGACAGAGGGATCTCTGGAGCTCAGTGGCAAGCCACTCCAGCCATTTGGTGAGGCCCCGGTTCAGAGAGCATGTCTCTAAGTGGAATGAGAAAAGAAATACAGTGGAGAGCAATCAAGGGAGGCACCCAGTGTTAATATCTGGCCCTCATGCGTATATCCACATGTATGTATGCACACACCTACAGAACACACACATCCCACACACACAAACAAGCTGCATATGTCGTGGATGTGCCACAGAACTATGCTACTATCTAGAGACCGTGGCTCTCCTCTGGGCACTTGCCCAGAGATGGAGGGTACGTGGTTACCACACTAGCTCTTCCAAAGTCACGTTGTGCACTAGTAATGTTGCAGAAGCCAAATGCCCTCTACTGTCAACGAGGACGGGGCAGAGTGGTGTGGCCGCCCTGGAGCCTGCTCATCAGGATCCGCTGCTCTGCCATCTCTCTCTTGGGAGGTAGAAGGAGCCAGCGTGGGGGTAGCCCAAGGCCTCCCTCCTCTCTACACCTGGCACTTTCCCAGGCAGTGGAGGGACCAGTTTCATGCACTGTGGTTAATTGCCCATAAACAGCTTAACCATAAACAATTCCCACATGTCAGGCCTGGAAGGGAAATTGCTGATAGAATCAGGGATTTGCACTTGACCTGGAAAGGGTGAGAACGGTTACTAATCTGCAGCATCCAGGCAGCTTTTCACAGCCAAGAAGGTTTAGGCAATTGTTCAGGGCAACGCTGGAGCCATGTGAAAGGCTTTTCAACCGCATCTTCCCTTTGAGAAGCAAGAGGCGGTGTCCTGGGGTCCTGTCTCATGTTTCGATCTGAAGGTCAGAGCAGACGCAGTTATAGACTCCACCTGCTTTCCAGTCTGTTCTTGCAGTATCTGGCATTGCCTTTTGATTGGCAGTGTAGGGCTCAGGTCTGACATAAGCCATTTGGTTTCTCATTACCTCTGCCTGCCTTTCAGTGCCTGCCACACACAGCCCCTGGGTTCAGAACCTACAGTTTCATTCATTGGGAGAACTGGAGGGAGGAGCTGAGTCTCCCAAGCTACATTTTTATGGGTGCTGCTCTCCTGGCTTTTGTATCTGCTGGACTCCCAAGACATCATCTAACAAGAGGGCATTGTTAGTCCAGCCATGATTCGCCTGCTGATTCTTAGAATTGGGTGTTGTGACCATTAGTGGCAAGCAAACCAACTGAATGGGCTGCAGCCAGATTCTCCTTGAAAAAAAAAAAAAATGGGTTGGAATTGTAATAGGACAGTTTGTGGAAGAAAGGATGTTATGGCATGACCACATCTCTGTGTTGTGGGCCGAAAAGACATACTGTAATTTAGCATGTTTCCCAGGGAGTCCCACAGAAGGACGTGGGCTGCTGAGTCACCGGCCAGCAACTGAGTTGGTTCTAGAATCAACACCCTTTTGCTTGGACCGTGTTAGTTCCCAGCAGTACTACTCAAGCCAGTCAAGTGTTTACTTTTCAAACAAAGGCTTATTGCCACACATAGCTGCCTGTGTGGGGCCGTAAGTATCTGGGGGCGCATGAGAGAGACTTCTGGTTTTCTTGTTGTGAAATCCCTGTAAGTGTGTGACCTCAAGTCAGCGTTCTGAAATTCCCCCAAATTCTCCAGGCAACTGAAGAGGTTAACTTACAAATTGTATAAAAAGGCTTGGTGTTCCTGAGTGGTACCGTGCTTGCTTTGCATGCATAAGGCCTTGGATTCAATCCCCAGCACCAACCACACATAGTGTGTACACACACACACACACACACACACACACACACACACACACACACACACACACACACACACACACACTCTCTCGCACACACGCACACACGCACACATGCACGCACGCATTAGAACTAAGTTATCCCAGGGCAAACTGTTTGGAGGTATTGTGTGAGAAGCTCGGGGAGATGGATGCTCAGCAACTACGCCTATGCTCTGCATAGCCTGGTGAGCAGACAAACCTGAGGTAGCCATCTTTATGGACAACTTGTGAAGTATGTATAATAGGATTGTGTCAAGCTGTGAAGACATGGGGAAAGCATGTGACAGTGAGACAGTCTAGGATAGATAGGGCCAGTGGGAGAAGACACGTCTCAGTGAAAGGAACCACCTATTTCACCAGGAACTTTCTCACTGAATTATTTCCTGGTAGGACAAATGACTTTCAAAAGACATCACTCCAAAAGTGTCTCCTTGGACATCGGGAAAAGGACGATGTGCCTGACATGGTTAACTTGATACCCTCCCAGTCAGGACTCTGTATCCACCTGCCACCTCTGAGCCACTGGGCTGAGATGTCACACAGACTTGCTATGTGAAATCATAGAGACAGAGCATGCCACTGCATTCCTACAGGATTTGCTGTTGCAGCACAATACAGTCTGTTTTCAAGGAGGAAGAGGGGACATTTATTCCTGGGGTCTCACAAGAGCTTTCTGTGGAATGAGAACAGCCTTTTGCCTTCATAGGATCCTCCTCTCCCACAGTCCTCTCTCCATACCTCTCTGTGAAGCATCCAGACCTGTGTTGACACACCTACCCACCAGGAGCTCAAAGCCAGAAGACACAAGCTTGAAGCCATTTAGGGGGCTAATGCTCATGCAGGTGCAAGGATGTAGGACAAGTATGAGAGAAGCTGTGGCCTCTCAGGAGTGAGATTTAAGCTGGGCCTTAAAGAGGAGGAATTCAGGTTGATGGGGAGACAATAGGAACTGTCACTCCATTAAGGCAGACAAGTTAGAGTACTTCTTTGCCAACATCGTGTCCTCTTAAAATTGCTAGTCTGTGAGGCACAGCAAGCTCATACTCTGGGTCTGCCCAGTGTCTCACCCAGCAGCAAGGAGAAGCCGCGCATGCTGAGTCTTTAGCTCCATATGGAAGTGGTGTCGACTGTTCAGCCCACATGGCTGCAGGTAGAGCTGCCGCCTGCAGGGATGGCAATGCCACAACTTGCTGGCCTCTTACAGCGTACCTACTAGATATCTTTTCCTGTGTCCCAGTTATTTCAGAGCTCTTTCCAGCAGGTAATTGTGAGTGCCTCTGTGCCTTTTCTTTTTGTAATTACAGGTATTGTAGAAAGTGCAGGGAAGAAAGGATGTGTTTCTGGTATTGCAGAAAGCTATGGTTTAAATTCATGGACCTAGCTCTAACACGTGCTTCCTGTGTCCTCCTTACATTTGCTAAAGGATCCAAGAGAGGTTTTGGACCCCCTTTTTTTGGACCTACATTTTGCTAAAGGGTCCAAGAGAGGTTTCCCTTCCCAAACTACCATTGGAAATGACACACGACAGAAAGCAGCACTTCGGT